CATACTCATTACGTATATGTATTGCTAACAGTATCGGTAGAGGCAATATGTATGGCTTTTCGTTTGCTGGTGTTCCGGAAATTACGGTCACACTATTGTCAAAAGTTTCATCTGAAGTCACAGAAGTTGAGGGAGTTTTCTCTAACGCATTTGTCTGAGGCTTAGAATCTATTAAAGGACTTGTAGTGGCCGGTGTAAGTAGCGGTTTTGAAGAACTCAACATTGTAGTCTTCAAAGGCCTTTTCATAGAAGGAGTTGATGTCTTCGGCGTTATGGGATTAATAGAAGAATCTGTTGCAGATTTACTAGGTTGTTGCGTCGACGTTCTTGCAGAACTTGGGATTGTAGATGTTGAATTTTCCTCTGTGAGAGGCTTAGTAGAAGGTCTTATTGAAAGTCTCTCAGGTATTAGTGTAACTGGAGTCGTAAAGTTTAACATTCTGGTCATTGTAAGATTTTCCGGATTTTTCAAAATGCAGCGTAATTGTTGAATTAAATCCACGGCTGCATTGCCATCCACGAGCACCTGGGCACCCACTTCAGTGAAAGTATTTATTTTGTTATTGTTACCAATTTGAACGACCTCGGTGTTTTCTAAAGCGACACAAGTCTAAGCAAATTTTAAAGCAATATCAAAACATTCGAACTTACTGTCTTGTATAAGGGGACTAGAATCATTTAAAATACAATCTCTGGCTGTCAAAGAATCAGATCCAAATAAGTTCGCTACTTGTTGTAATAAAGCACTTAATCTTAGCTTAACAGCGGTTTGAGGATCCACAACAATACCACGGGTTAACGTATTATTATTACCCAAAATTAATATGGAACCATTATCTGAAAAAAATTAAGCAACAATAAAAAGAAAAATATTTGAAAAGATAATCGATAATGAACTGATAAGCGTACTTAACTGACGCGTTTCAAATTCGGCTTGAGCTGTAACGGAATCGTCTTTTAATAGTTGTTGTTGGGAATCAAATATACCCAAATCTATTAACAACTGAGGAGTAACCTTAAGCAACTCAAATAATTGATTATTGCTACCATTAACGAAAACACGATCAAAATCTGTAAGAACGATAGAGTATAGCCGTATAAAAGTATGTAGAAGAATTTCTTCGAACTTTTTGAGGAAAACTTACTCTCTTGTTTCACTGAGGCTGCCGTTGGCCGATCAGTTTCGTTAACAAATTTTTGCCCTGGATTTAACAAATTTATTAATGCCATTATCTGAGGAGACAAATGAATTAATTGCAATTTTTCATTACCGTCACCTAGTATAACGGTATCAGTAGTGTTCACTAAAAAACAAAAGCAATTAAGAGTTAAACGATTGGCAAAAAGTTTTCAATCCTTATACCGATTTGCTGTCTGAGATCACTATGCACTTGTGTCAAATTATCACGAACACTATTTTCTATTAATTCTGAACTGTTGGAAGCATTGAGCAACATTAACAGAAGTAATAAATAGGAGACTCTTGAACGCGTCATGATTCGAAGCACATATTATACCAAATACTAAACAATTTTTATAGAACAGAGTCTTTATACTTTCTTTGTACTCATAAGAAGATCTGCTTCATAAGAAGCTCTTTTAATTTAATCGTGGGGAACGTGACTTCTTAAGAATTTTAATCTTAAATAGCTTCTATTAAAAATGATTGGAGCGAAACGTTGGTTAAATATTATTCAGAAATATTTTATTTTACAACATGATAAGCAATCATTTAAAGCGTTTTATATGACGTCAATCGACCTTTGCGGCTTTGGAAGTATGGCATCCGGGCTTAATATTTCAGCTACCAAATCTACAGCGGCTTGTACATGGGAGACTTCAAGCAAAGAATCAACCGAGTTGCCCTCGCCTACCTGGACAATATTCGTCTGAGCTAAAAGGCGCAGAATTAAAGATTAAAAAAAATTTGCTCTAAAAAAAATAAAAAAAACACTTACAAATTTGCTTCGTTTTAATTTTCTCCACCGGTTTAGCCATCGCCAGCAATAGGAAAATTGCTAAAATATATACAGTATTGAAAAAGTTCATATTGTATTCGTACAAAGTCCCTCAAGTCAATACACAAAAATTATTAAGCATTTTCATTTATATACAGTTTTGTAAAATGAAATTTCAAAAAAAAATTCCTAACGTTAGTTATGCCGAAAATATTGTTTTTCGTTTTTATAGCACTTCAACGCTGAGTCAACGTTAGAAGATTTGCGTAAACGTTGTACAGCCAGTTATTTTCACATACGTGCTGTTTGTTATTGACTAAACCACATACAGACGGCGTTAAGAAAATATCTTCAAAACTGTGATGATAAATTATTTGAACATTTTTCAAGTCAAACATTCAAGACATATTCGAGAAAAGTTTCACGTCAACATTGGGATCATTGGTAGAATAACGGTGCAATCTATTCACTTGTTAGCCATTGACATTTGGGGTCATTCCGCTCCACAAACTTGACAATGGTCAATAAATTATAACACCCGCTTCTTGCAAAAAGGAAAGCTGTAATGGGTGGACAAAAGTTTGTCGCCTAAAGCTTGCGGAAAACACTCACATAGGAGGATAACTTGTTTAGTCGACTACCGGTCTATTCCTGTGCTGTATATCATAAGACCGGATACCCTAGTGGGCTTGTCTATGTATGCAAAAGATTTTTCCGTGCACGTCTTCTTTAATTGCAGTTGCATTGCTTAAAGTAACGGACAAGGGCAGGTTGGCAAGTGGCTGGACAAGGCGAGTTCATCGATCTCTTCATAGAAAGACCGTTACGCAAAAGGATTAACATTGATTTGCGCTAACCAAAATGACGGAATCGTGTAGTAAGTGTCAAATTAAGACGCGTGTTCGATGCATTAGCCCTTTCTTACCCAATGCAAACATTTATGAGCATCGTTTCGCGGCATTCACTTTTTTCAATCTAAGAGACACTATAGAAACAGAGTAGTTGCGTCTCTTCATTTTTCCAATTCTTCGACTTTTCGGTGACTGGAAAGGTTAGGGTATGCAGGTGTTCACATTCAGAGAAATTCAGGATTCAGCACTGATGCGCTTATCCGCCGAGGGTTTTACACCTATGCTTGCCCACCTATACATATCCATTGTTCTAAATACTAGATAGCCTCCACAGGACAATGACTTAAGCCACTTAAGCTACTGTGAAAGGCAACGTCAAGGATAACATATATATATATATATACTTTACAAAGTACAGGAGGTAATCGAGTTAGTAGACACTCATTATACTTGTTTGGGTAAAAAACTTTTGAAAAGTATATTAAAACGGTAGAAATTTGTTCATAGACAAGCCAGGCCGACCGTTAAGTATCTTAGGGCACTTCGCAGCGACTTTTCAACATACAATGTTATATGAAGGCCGGTTGCAGAAATGTTAAGAGTTAACTAAAGAAATACATGAGAGGAGATACCATCCAGATAGAGAGAGATAGTTGGTATTTAGAAAATATAAGGTGGGGCGATCTCACGTCTTCGTGGTTGTTTAGTATACCCTTGCATTGCAACTTGTGTTTTTGAATGCATTTCTATTTCTGTTTCATACCAATCTTTTCGTTTCTCTTTGTTTCTTTTTTAAGCGACGAAGGGAAGCAGTTTAAAAGACAAGATCAGTTTACAAGTGCAATAAATTTAAATTGTTTCGAATTTAGCAAAAGCCACAACCCATAGAAAGTGGGGTGAAGATCATTATCATTAACGGCATTGCCAAGCACAAGTTCTGTATTTGGAAACTTAATGCCATGCATTTCTCAACTTCTGATGTATTATACATGTATATATTTACGTCTGCAATGATCTGAGATAATATTGAACATATCACTCTGTGTGTATGTTCGAGCGATGATAAGTGCACGTGTAAACGATACGCTTTAAGTAAATTATATTACATCGATAGTGGACAAGTAACAAAGGACTGATTTGCAATCTAATATATGCATTGGCATATGCACGCTATAGTATCTAGCGATTATCTAAAAAACGCGTTCTCTGTAGCTTTGAAGGGCGGCACTTCTAGCAAATAACAAAAACTTATATTCATTAATGACAGCAAAAATTACTTTTTTGTATTTTCTTTATATGAAATTTCTAGAACTTTATTTTTTCAACAGCTACTGTCAAGACCTAAGGTTTCATTTAATTAAATTCGTTTTATTTTGTTCTTAGTAATAGAAAAAAAAAAAAACAATGTTGTTTATAGTGAAGGAGAAGCAAATTGAAAACTTTGATAGACCACATCAGACTTTTATTGCTTTTTCTTTGTAATTTTTTAATTTTGTAAAAAAAAAAACTTTCATTTCTATTATTGAAATTTAATACTATTATTTAATAGAATTTTAAAAAATTTCATTTATTAATTCGTTCGCTATCATAATCGTGGGGATTTGCAAAGTATGTTCCAATTTTGGTTACCCTACACTTTATGTATACATTCGAGATCAAATGAGTCCCTAGATCTTCCCATGTGCTTGGCCGCGTTTTTTAACAACCAATTGACTATTCACAGTTCGCCGGTCCTCGTGCCTTTAAGAGGTTAATTATGAGCTCTACTTCACCTCCTCGATATTAAGATGATTTCATAAATATTGTCCTTAGATAAGCTTGACCGTAATGTTGATAAGCAACTTCTGCCAAAACGTTGCAGATATACGCTTATCAACGTAGTTAACATAATTCTAACACAACGACGCCTATAGAACTACGGCTGCCACATAACCAAGTAGATGAATAATGCGACTATCAAGTCGATGTAGTAGCTAGGAGGCCATATTTAGTTACAGCTATAGCGAATGCGCTTAGTCGGGAAATGTGTAACACATTGGATATGCATTGACCAGACTTTCTCCCTCTTTTCCCATATCTTTCTGTTCATCGTCATCATTAGAATAAAAAGAGAAGAAAATGATACATGATATACTTTGACTGTGATATAGACTTGGGTCTAAGAAGACATTGTAGGGTATTAACGCGGCCAAGTTTTGCTGTTTATATTTCATTTATTTTTTTCTTATTCTTATTATTTACTCTTTTTTTTTTTTGTTTTGTTTTTTGGAAAAATCTTTTCTAACCACTAACGTGAGATTTGAAAGAAGAGAGACCCGAATTATTACAAAACGTCATTGCAGCCACCAGAAAGAGATCAAATTACATTTTAAGATCACTTAAAAGATTAGATTCAGCGCTTATGTTCAAGGTAATCAGAAGGAAGGAATCGCTAAAAATTGATACCTTTCACACAAGTATGAACTAATCGATCATCATTGTTAACCTTGTTAGAGACGTTTCCTGCATACGGAAAAGTTGAGCGAATGTTCAAATGTCTTTAATCTCTTTCATGCTCATTAACTACTCGTATTGCTTAGGAGGACAATGGAAGATGATAACACCTGTTTAATGCTAAACAGGCTTCTTACTGCTATTGCTATAGGGCTCTTGTCTAAGGTTACCATCTTTGGCACACACTTTTTCAAATATGAAAGAAGAGCAAAATCGATAAAAAAAAAAAAAAAAAAAATTTTTAATTTAAAATTGTTTTTTAATTTTTTAAAATATTTTTTTTTTTTTTTTTATAACTTTTTTCTCTTTTTTTTTTTTTTTTTTTTTTTTTCTTTTTTTTTGTCTCAATCTTATTAAAGGAAACGTGCTTAAGTGCCTCTTTGGAGGGGAGAAATATAAAAGACGAAAAAATCTTTTCTTTTTTTTTGCTTATTAACAAAGAGTATCGAATTTCCATTTTTTTTCTCAAATTTTATTTTTTTTTTTCTTATAGAGAAAAAAAGATATAAATTTTGCGGTTACTTGGAGGTTTTAAATCACAAATTTTTATTAATACCAATATGTATACATTATTATATTATGTATGTAGTCTTATTGTTCTTTTTTTTGGTGCAACTTGGTAGGTTGGAGTAAAGCAATTACGATTTCTTGATTTGTTTCGAAAAAAGGTAATTCCCTTAAGAATTTATTTATGCTGACAAAACAATAAATAAAACTCACATTAATGTGATGAGTAGAAAAAAAAAAAAAAAAAGACAGGAAATAAGCAAGAAACGAGGTTTCTATGATGTCAATTATCGAAAACAACCATAAAAGTTATGCGGTAATCCCCGACAACGCTTAAAAATTTTAAAGCAAAAAAAGAGAGGAAAACATTCTCTGCCTTAAGTAGGCGGCCAAGTTAGCACTAACTGGAAATTTTCTAATTAATTTATTTTATGTCGGTTTTTTTTTTAATTCGTGATTCCACGTTTAATATATGTGCGGGTAACTATGAAAGTGGTCTAATTCGCAATGTTCTTGTTTCGAGATATTTAATAATATTTTTATATTATGCGACATATTAATTTCAAATTGTATTAGTCGTGATTAATGGAAACTTATAATGAATATGAAATTTTCTGTGAATTTCATATTTCTAATTTTATTTTTAAAATTAGAATTGATTTAAACCATTTTCAAAATTAACCCAATGTCCTATAAATAACTTAAAGCAATAAAAAGAAGGAGAATTTTTGGGAACAATAATGAACTAATTCATGAATATTTATTAATTATTTTTGAAAAGTATTCCATTTTTATCATTTCAGGCTCTCATCTTCACAAGTTCTTAGGATTCTTAAAATGTTCCTGCAAAACTGAAGGAACCAATACTCTTAGATGCTCGTGCTTTATGTGTTTAGTCTTAGTCTCTACACCTCTGGCGAAATTATAATAATAATAATAATAATAATAATAATAATAAATAATAATATAATGTTTTTATATTTTTCCTTCGTTAGTGCGTTAGTCTAGTGGTAGCGTATGATGGAAGTAATTTAATATTTCGGTATATTTTTGATCTCGTTCTTTTAGGTGAAGGATCCAGAACGTGGAATTTAGAAACATAGAAAGAAAATTCATTCATAGAACATATTGATCAGGGGTTCATTTTTCAAGAATCTCATCCATTGAATTTGCAGCCAAGAGGCAGATTCGCCAGCGGTATTTTTCACTCCTGTTATCGTTGACTCTTTTAGTGATTTCGTCGCAATAAAAT